TTTAACTGCTGACCGTTTGGGACTTAACGGTCAGAAGTGACGGCAACATGGACGGTGTTAGGGGAGGGACGACAACGAACAAAAAAAGCCAAGTAGAGGGACGACGTTTTGGCTCTTTGGAGAGTAGAGGGACGACAACGAACATGACCTTAGTAGAGGGACAAGAACGAATAAAATATTAAAGTAGAGGGACGACAGTTGGCTTTAAACCTGGAAAATATGGCTAAAAAGCAAGTCAGCAGTGCACATGGGATTGGGAAAGAAGATAGCTACGTATGCGTCTCTAGTACTTGTAAGAATGAATTCCCTGTCCTACATATGTTGTTAAGGAAATTCATAATAAATACTTAATTTACTGGAAATCTTCAAGTCTCCACTTGGATGGCCTTTTTTTTGTTTTTTTTTGTTTCTTTTCTGCCTGCAGTCTAATCGTTAGTTGGACTGAAAATATAATATTTCTATGATACCCCTGATAAAGCATAACTTTGATACACAATCCTAGCTGGTAAATACCCAACTTATTATTTTTTTTATATATATTAAAATAAAGAAATGATACATATACATTATAAGCCGACATTTTCGGTTAAACACTATCGGTCCATTTACTAATAAAATACATGGTTTGGCATTAGTTGGAAAAGGCTTAATTCTGTTGCCATTTATGGTTCCACGCCAGCAACTGTCAATTTTTGCTTGCAACTGTCGATCCACCCCTGTGACTGTTGATCTCTACCCGCACTGCCGATCTATGCCAACGATTGTTGATCTCTGCTTGCCATTGCGAATCCACGCCAAATGGCACAGAGAATGAGTTGAGGAAGATGACTAGCAGAAGAAGCAAACTTTTTCAAAGGGATGATGGAAAGTAGTAATTGATCCTTGGGAACTTTCAAACGAGTTTTTTTGGAGAGGTAAAAAGCAGCTTTTATGTGAAATTCAGCGGTAGAAAGTTTCTACTGCAACGGCGATTATGGCATCTCAGTCGGTGACTGCGGCAGCTATATCGATTACTAAACCAATTATATCTCTATCGAATTCGGGAGAAGAGCAAGTTGTTTCATCGAGTTCATCATCAACAGGGCATGGACAAGCGAGAGCCCCACTGGCAGATCTTATTGAAGAAAACGAGAGATATATTGAGAAAAGAAAACATGTAATTGAACAAAGAGTTAGTAGGAATGAAGAGCTTGTGCAACAATACATTGATTCTAATGTTAGTTTTGGGAGAACGAGGCTAGTTTTCTGGTGGCCAAATCTTTAGATTTGTTACCAGTGAAATAGTTATCCAATGAAAGAAAATCACTCAACCACCCTAGATCTACACCCCTTGAATTCAAAGAATCTCCTTTCTGTTACTTGTTTTGC